TCGTGGCTGTGACGGTTCCACCTGAAGACGGAAGCTTGTGTTGCCTCCGAAACGTCGTGATTTTTATTTTATTTGACTTTTATTCATTTAATGTTTTACCTACGTGACTTTACCGAAAAAACCTAAGAATATTAATGCAGTTACTTTATTCATTGCAAAAGGGATGCACTTGGTGTTTGAACATCTTAACACAACTCCTGTTTTATTGCCACAAAGGATAAACGCCAATTATTATTTCTCAGTTTCTTCCCCGAATTCTCTTCGCCCCGTACTTTTTTTTCTTCCACGTTGAACTTCTTTTCGCGCCGTACGTAGCCGACCGTGGTAAAATTGGAGGCGTTGGTGCCCCAGGTCGCGCTAGCAAACCAGATTTAACGCCGGCCCTTTTAATCCTTTCCCTTTCCGATGACGTATGTACGTGGTACGTGGTGTAACGTCATCGGAACAAAAAACAAATCACTTTATCGGTACCGTGGCTCCCGCAAGGGTCACGCGACAGGGCGCGTGGCACAGTTTGGAGCCAGCTTCCGTAGAGTGCGACGTGCATGTCGCTACGGTTCTCTGCGGCCTCTCTAAATAAAATGTTACGCTGCGCCGCTTGCACGTTCCGAGATTCGGCGGTGACCGGGAACATGCACCCACCCACACCCTGCAACTTGCAAACGTCTCGGAACGAGAGAGAGGTTCAAAGTTATCACACGGTTAAAACAAAATAAACTCCAAACTAGATTTCTTTTTCATAATTCGTTCAACCTCGTGACGCCGTCCGACTTCAAACACCGCGCCGTGAACCCGGCGAAGCCATGGGGGCTCTGAATAAAGGGGTCGTCGCCCGAAAAGTCCCCGTATTTTGTACCCTCCGAGGCCACGGTTTGAAACGACGAATTCGTCGAGTGATAAATGGCGAGCAGAGTTCAATTCCCAGCCGCTGCGAACATCAGCAGCAAATGATATATGGCACATTAGGAATGGATCACTCTTTTAATTATGTCCTTGTGCAGCAAGGGAGTAAGTGTGCCTTCCGTGAAAGTCCTGATGTGCTGTGCAGTGCATCAATGCATGTGTGTACAGCAGCATGTGATGACTGAGTTGGGCCTGTAGGTGGCTGGCAGGGTTAATGAATACCGCGCGTGTAGACCAGCCACGTGGTTAATGGCGACTCGGAAGAATTGCTGCGTGTAACACGCGCTGTTGCATTTTACAGAGTGACGGTGCTGTTCTTCACAAGATTAATATTAACTACAATAAATAAATGTGCTTGCCTCGTCCTTCATTTCGAGTGTGCAACAGATACAACTCTTCCCCGACCACCCGAACCCCTGACGAGTGCGGTGGTCAGTGTGGGGATCTCTTCATCCAGCAGCAGATCGATTAAAGAGGACTGCAAGTCGCCATTGTTATGATTACTGCAGCAGACAAAGAGATCACTCTTTTCCGTAAGGCGGCAAGAGATCTGTGCGCGAGGGCAAAATGCGGTCCATTTTACAACATCGCACAACGATTACTGGTCACACTTTTTCTGGTATTCCAACTGTTTTAATTTAATTTTGGGGTGCCGATTCCAAATCTGGCATCAGGTTTTTGAGATTATCAAATATTGCATTTTCAATAAAAGTGCAGAAGAAAAATATTAATAAATGTGGATATCTACATAAAATGATATTATAAAACACACTATCCTAAAAATACAGCACCATATTTTAACACCAAAGCAGTCACTGACTCGCAACAACTTGCAATCATAAGTGACAGAGTTAATTTCGGGTAAAATCAATGAAAATGGGTATGCCGATAGCATAAAAATGAGATGTGATAGAGCAAATCTGAGATCAGATTTGGAATCAGCACCCTGAAATTAGTCTAAAACAGCTGCAAAAGTCCAGGCCAGAAAAAAAAGTATTTTTTTTGTCGACCCAGTGATTGTAATCGATTATAATCGATTATAATCGTTGTGAGATGGTATTCACGTTGCAGGCAAATAAACTGGCACGCATTACAGTGCTGTGCCCCCGTATTGAAGTGACTGTACGCCAGCCATATATACGGGTAAAACCGTACGAGTTGATAGGTATGCACAACACTCCCCCATACCTGTCAACCCCTTATCAGTGCCTACCTTGTGTTACAGACCAATTCAGACCTCATTGGTCAACCGTGTGGCCTTAGAAATATCGACGTTCATCCTACAAAGTTCCATCACAAGGGAGAAACACAAAGACACGTTTCGATTTAAAGCTTTCGTGACTGCAGGGATTCATCTTCTTGGTTCTTTCTGTAAAGTCACGTAGAAGGGAAGTAATAAAATAAAATTAAAACATAATAATGCACGGGCATAATGACTTTGAAACCCCCCCGCCCACCTCCTACGCATTTCCCATAAATATGCTAAATTCCTCTTGATATGCAAATTATGTTGTCAAGGCGCTCTTCTTCCCCCCTCCAACCCAGCTTAAATATACACTCCAAGCTTGGTGGTGTTTCATTCTTCACCTGACGGACGGCTTGCGTTGTGGCCGAAACGTCGTGAGAATTATTTTATTATGTTTTATTTTTATTATTGTATTACTTCCCTTCTACGTGACTTTACCGAAAGAACCAAGAAGAAAGACACGTTGGTTTTTTTGCCCGTATTGAAACGGCTGTACACCGTATGGACATGAACCTACACAGGGCCCAAAGACCTCCACAGGACTTCAATGAATGAGGAACTCGGGGCAACTTTACCCCAAGACCAAAACAACAGTCAGCAGCTGATAAACAATATTGTACTTTTATAAGAACACATTCTATAATGAACAAAGACAACCGCAGGGAGATATAGGGGATGGTTTTTTGTTTAAGTTGCAATATTAAGGGATGGTTTGTGTTTAAGTTGCATAGTCTGAATCAGCCATGAGCGCAACTTTCAGGGTTCAGGAATATAATCTCTCTCTCATCACTTTGTCAACTTTTTTAAAAGGCATTTAAAACAAAAAACACCGTGCAAGGTACACAATAATAAGAGCGCAATGTTAACTCCCTTAAACCTCGATTTAAAGCTTTCGTGACTGCAGGGATTCACCTTCTTGGTTCTTTCGGTAAAGTCACGTAGAAGGTAAATAATAAAAGAAGGGAAATAATAAAATAATAATAATAACGCACGCTGCTGATGACACTATTTAGAACATCACAGGGTATAACTCACGCTGCTGATGACACTATTTAGAACATCACAGGGTATAACGCACACTGCTGATGACACTATTTAGAACATCACAGGGCATAGCGCACGCTGCTGATGACACTATTTAGAACATCACAGGGTATAACTCACACTGCTGATGACACTATTTAGAACATCACAGGGTATAACTCACGCTGTTGATGACACTATTTAGAACATCACAGGGCATAACGCACGCTGCTGATGACACTATTTAGAACATCACAGGGTATAACTCACACTGCTGATGACACTATTTAGAACATCACAGGGTATAACTCACGCTGCTGATGACACTATTTAGAACATCACAGGGCATAACGCACGCTGCTGATGACACTATTTAGAACATCACAGGGTATAACTCACGCTGCTGATGACACTATTTAGAACATCACAGGGTATAACTCACGCTGCTGATGACACTATTTAGAACATCACAGGGTATAACTCACGCTGCTGATGACACTATTTAGAACATCACAGGGTATAACGCACGCTGCTGATGACACTATTTAGAACATCACAGGGTATACTCACGCTGCTGATGACACTATTTAGAACATCACAGGGTATAACTCACACTGCTGATGACACTATTTAGAACATCACAGGGTATAACTCACGCTGCTGATGACACTATTTAGAACATCACAGGGTATAACTCACACTGCTGATGACACTATTTAGAACATCACAGGGTATAACTCACACTGCTGATGACACTATTTAGAACATCACAGGGTATAACTCACGCTGTTGATGACACTATTTAGAACATCACAGGGTATAACTCACGCTGCTGATGACACTATTTAGAACATCACAGGGCATAACTCACACTGCTGATGACACTATTTAGAACATCACAGGGCATAACGCACGCTGCTGATGACACTATTTAGAACATCACAGGGCATAACACACGCTGCTGATGACACTATTTAGAACATCACAGGGCATAACTCACACTGCTGATGACACTATTTAGAACATCACAGGGTATAACTCCCGCTGCTGATGACACTATTTAGAACATCACAGGGCATAACTCACACTGCTGATGACACTATTTAGAACATCACAGGGCATAACTCACACTGCTGATGACACTATTTAGAACATCACAGGGTATAACTCACACTGCTGATGACACTATTTAGAACATCACAGGTATAACTCACGCTGCTGATGACACTATTCAGAACATCACAGGGTATAACTCACACTGCTGATGACACTATTTATAACATCACAGGGCATAACACACGCTGCTGATGACACTATTTAGAACATCACAGGGTATAACTCACACTGCTGATGACACTATTTAGAACATCACAGGGTATAACGCATGCTGCTGATGACACTATTTAGAACATCACAGGGTAACACACACTGCTGATGACACTATTTAGAACATCACAGGGCATAACTCACACTGCTGATGACACTATTTAGAACATCACAGGTATAACTCACACTGCTGATGACACTATTTAGAACATCACAGGGCATAACTCACACTGCTGATGACACTATTTAGAAGTAACATCACGGGGCATAACTCAGGCTGCTGATGACACTATTTAGAAGTAACATCACGGGGCATAACTCAGGCTGCTGATGACACTATTTAGAAGTCAACATCACCACCACCACCACCATCATCGGTAAGGGCACACGCGAACACAACAACAAAAATTGTTGTTGTTGTTGTTGCAAAGACGGAAACCTCGCGGCTCAGAAACGAAAGTGACACAACAAGAGAGAGGGGGAGTCACGTGACCACACTCACCCCCAGCAGGTCGTGAAACTTTGTTGTTGTTGTTGTTGTCGTCACGAAACTTTGTTGTTGTTGTGGTTGTGGTCGTTGTTGTAGTTGTGGTTGTGGTCGTCGTCGTCGTTGTTGTTGCGAAACTTCAACGCGGCGGGAAAGAACTTTTACTGCGCCACTACCTCCACCACCACCACCAACTACCTCCTCCACCACCACCACCACTACCACCTCCACCACCACCACCTCCACCTCCACCACCTCCTGTTGCTGCTGCTACTGCTGCTGCTACGACTGTTGCTGCTGCTGCTGCTGTAGATATTGTCCGGGGTCCGTGATGATGGTGATGATGGTGATGGCGACGATGTGCGGATGCGTATGAGGAGCGGAGGATGGCGGCTCAAAGCCTCCTCTGCATTTCATACAAAGACGCCCCGAGCCGCGGCATTTAACCCAGCGGGGGGGGGGGGCCTTAGGGTACCTCCCCTAAGCCCCGCCCCCTCCTACTACAAGCCCCGCCCCTCCTATAAGCCCCGCCCCCTCCTACTACAAGCCCGCCCCCTCCTACTACAAGCCCCGTCCCCTCTTACTACAAGCCCCGCCCCCTCCTACTACAAGCCCCCCTCCCACAAGCCCCGCCCCCTCCTACTACAAGCCCCGCCCCTCCCCCTCGCCCTCCCCCTCGCCCTCATCCTCCCCCTCCCCCTCGCCCCTCCCCCTCATCCTCCCCCTCGCCCCTCACCTCCCCCTCGCCCCTCATCCTCCCCCTCACCCTCCCCTCATCCTCCCCCTCGCCCCTCCCCCTCATCCTCCCCCTCGCCCCTCATCCTCCCCCTCGCCCCTCTCCTCCCCCTCACCCCTCCCCTCATCCTCCCCCTCGCCCCTCCCCTCATCCTCCCCCTCGCCCCTCATCCTCCCCTCGCCCCTCATCCTCCCCCTCGCCCCTCCCCTCATCCTCCCCCTCGCCCCTCCCCCCTCATCCTCCCCCTCGCCCCTCATCCTCCCCCTCGCCCCTCCCCTCATCCTCCCCCTCGCCCCACCCCCTCATCCTCCCCCTCGCCCCTCATCCTCCCCCTCGCCCCTCCCCCTCATCCTCCCCCTCGCCCCTCATCCTCCCCCTCGCCCCTCCCCTCATCCTCCCCTCGCCCCACCCTCATCCTCCCCCTCGCCCCTCATCCTCCCCCTCGCCCCTCCCCTCATCCCCCCCTCGCCCCACCCCCTCATCCTCCCCCTCGCCCCTCATCCTCCCCCTCGCCCCTCCCCTCATCCCCCTCGCCCCTCCCCCCTCATCCTCCCCCTCGCCCCTCATCCTCCCCCTCGCCCTCCCCTCATCCTCCCCCTCGCCCCACCCCCTCATCCTCCCCCTCGCCCCTCATCCTCCCCCTCGCCCCTCCCCCTCATCCTCCCCCTCGCCCCTCCCCCCTCATCCTCCCCCTCGCCCCTCATCCTCCCCCTCGCCCCTCCCCTCATCCTCCCCCTCGCCCCACCCCCTCATCCTCCCCCTCGCCCCTCATCCTCCCCTCGCCCCTCCCCTCATCCTCCCCCTCGCCCCTCCCCCCTCATCCTCCCCCTCGCCCCTCATCCTCCCCCTGCCCCTCCCCTCATCCCCCCTCGCCCCACCCCCTCATCCTCCCCCTCGCCCCTCATCCTCCCCCTCGCCTCCCCTCATCCTCCCCCTCCCCCCCCTCCTCCTCCTCGCCCCACCTCCTCCAACCCTCTCGCTCCTCCCCCTTCTCGCACCTCCCTCCCCTCCTCCCTCCCCATCTCTCCACTGGGGGGGAGGGGGGTCTCACTCACACGGGGGCTGGGTGGTGTAGGGCAGTGTCATGTGTGTGTGTCTGTGTGTGTCAATGTGTACAGAGTTAGAC